TGTGTGTGTGTGTGTATGTGTGCGCGTGCGTGTGTGCGTATGTGGGTGGGTCTGTCTATGTGTGTGTCTGTGAGTGTGTGTGTTATGTGTGAGTGTGTTCGTGTGTGTTTATCACTAGCCACAGGAATGTTTTGTTTTTAGACATAATTAATTATATACGTTTTACTAACCGACAACTTCAATAAATTGTTCTGTTTCATTGTAATTTAGTCCTAGGAGCCATTTTGTCACGACTTTCTTGCATTAAATTTTCAAATTTAGATTTGCTTTATTATTAAGTACGATCCTAGGAAGGTTTATAAAGGTAGTATATAATTATTTTTTCAGGTACACTATATCATGTCGTCTCTTACTAAGAGTCAGGTTTACATCATAAGCTAGTGAAGAATGCTTTTTTACTACGGTGTGTAATATCAATAATTGGCGTATAGATACAACCTGGCATGATTTGTACAGGGTATCTTAATTAGGTGCGATTTTGCAGCACCACCTCAAGAAGTTACACAATATATAAATAAGCACTGACAGAGTGCATGCCATGTCTGCCATGTTTCTAAGGGTTTTGAAAATCTAGATTAACTTGGTGCGTGCTGCAAGTTGCGTGATATGAGAAATCAAGTTTAAATTTTTTTCGAGAGTGGTACCTAAATATTTAGTAAATAGAACTCTAAGTTTTTTTGATGTGAGAAATAAAGTTTAAATTTTGATCGAGAGTGATACCTAATTATTTAGTAAATAGAACTCTTTCAAGACAGGGACGAGAACAATCATTAACGTGTGGACTGGGACAATGATGGGGTTATGTATGGATATATGCTTGAGGAGCAATTGTGTTGCGAATTGAAGAAGAAATATAATACGTAATAGTAAGCTTTATTAAAAGTAGTTTTTCAGGTTATGGTAGGTTATGTGAGATAATCATATCTAATGATGTTGTACTGTCAATATCTGTATTTGTGTTATACTTATGTCATAAAAATGTCTACCCGTCGACACAACGGGGAACATCGATTAGTTTTTGGGCTAATCGTGAGAGAACTTTGAATGAAAGTATGTATTTTGTGAATCTGCACTGTTTGTCTTGCTATGTTGTTATAGTTGAAGAAATATTATTTGTACCGATGAATGTTGTCTCTTGGAACGGCTTATCCTATCTATAGGGTAATAAAACCAATAACACTTCTACTTCAAGCGTAACATGGACTTAATGATTTTGGTCCATCAAACGAACCATGGGTGCGCTAAATGCTTTTACTAAATTCTAGTTTTGAATTATTTCTTTACTCATCAGGTGGTTTTTTTTAAACTGTAAGTACTTCATAAAATACCAATAATTCAACAAAGATGTGTGGAACTACACATAAAGATTACCAAGTTTCTAGTTTTAGGTTTAGTTGCTAATTTTATATTAAAAAAAATATATATATAATCTTTGTTTAATTAAATGATAAAGCAAGAGGACTATCTGAGATGATGAGTGGCGTCTCTTTAAACAAGGTTCGGGCAGAATACTAGCGTCGTGGGAAACCGCGGCATTTATGCTGAGCCAGTGTCTTTTCATTGCCATGACTTCCAAGACTATTTACTTTAATTAGTTATATGTGTAGTTATACGTTGCTTTTGTTATAAAAATTTGTTATTTTAAGTGGTTCAACATAATAATGGTAATAATGGAGTTAGTTTTAGTGGATCTTATGTAAATAAGTTGTCATGGAAGTGAATAAAGTTTCTATCTATCTATCTACTAGTTGTATCTGCTGTACAGATGACACGTGCGTTACCGAGACGGCTCACTCTTTTGTCCTATTGTACTCTAAAGATAAAGCGATAAGACGAATCGGTGCAAATTATATTTCGCCAACTGTACACTGTGTTATAAGAAAATATATTTGTTGAGGTTATGCAAGGTTGTAGCTTGAGGTTAGGTTGATGGGCATCGTAGAATGCTTAGAAATGTTAATACCTGATTAAATCTTTGCGCTATAACCTGGCAAGCAGTCATATCCTCCCCGTTGCCACTGATCACACGATTAAGGATATCTGGAACCCATACGTACAGTCCGTTCAATCTGAAATATATCCGAAGACAAATATAAAGTCAGTGTTTTGGGTTCCGCTTACAGTAAGTCTAGAACTAATATTGATTAACACCATTGGATCGATTAGCGACTTATTGCACAAGCTAAAGTCGACTATGAATTTTCCAAATCAAAGTAGACTGACTATCTAATATAATTTTTAGAAATATTTTGTCTTTTTAGTTTTTCGTACCATCAATGACACTCCTCTATGTACACTTAGGATTGAAATTTTATTTCATGCCACATGATAAGATATTCGCAACGAGCTGTTTAACTGTTCCTACCTGTACTTGATACCTATAATGCATATGTCTGCTAACTAAGCGGCTAAGTGACAAAATAATTTTTTGAGATAATAAAAAACCATAACACAGTTTTAGAATACTGAAATTGAATGACATTTCAGCTACGCATCGACAGTGTAAGTGCCGATAAATCGAACACGTTAACTAATTTTAATTGTTTTTAAAAGTGAGTTGTGTGCCCTATTTTTTTGCTGTTTAAAACGGTTATTTGACCATTTGTCACTTAGCCGCGTTTTAGTTAGTGGACGGTAGATGTAACATCTTGACCTATTACCGATTTTTCTTGATATACTCGATGGGTCCTTGATAACCATTTGGGTGTTTGTTGATAAATAACATTTCCACCCTATTGCAAAAACTTTCATTAACTTTGACGTTGCTTTAAGTATCATTCTGTCACTATTATTATTAACCCCATATATCGATACCCCCAATCTCTAAGCCTCAAATCAACACTACGCAAACTTATTTTTTTTGTAATTTTCTGTTTTAATTTTTTTTTTTATTTATTAAGGCTTTGGCAAAGCCATCAGCCTAAACATGAAGTTTAATTATGTTTCTGTAAATATGGCCGCCACAAAGAGGATAGGCAATTTGAGGCGGCGTGCTTGGATTGACTTGGGATTCCTTAAAACGCGCCGATACGGGTATTCTAGTTCGAGATTCGTATAATTTCGCGTTTTAATTTTCGATTAAGGCACAATAGCACTATCCTATTCCACTTTTAACTAGATTTCACAAAATAATTGAATATCAAAATAAAAACGAAACTTTTCCCTCCAAAAGGTACAGAGCGAATCTAAAGAAGCAAAACAAAACGAAAATAGAGATGACCAAAAAAATTAAGTTGGCGTAGTGTTCATTGGAGGTATCGACGTGTGGAATTAACATTGTAAAGGATAGTATCTTAAAATAAAGTCACGCTAAATTTAAAGATTTTGATTTTTTGATTTGAGTGCTTAAAAGTACTTATGTAGATTAAATATATTTATTATTTATAAAAACTTACGTAGCAAAAGCTCCGAAAAACAAGAACCCGTTGAGAGCCAGCCATTTTAAGAGCCTAGGCTTCATCAGAGGAACTGTTTGATCTTTGAGAGAAGTCATTATGCCGCGTTTCTCCAGCTCATTTGAGTTAGGCATTTTCAAACTTTTAACCTTAAATAATTATAATATGCTTAGAGAATGTTTGGTGTTATAAAAAAAAGAAAAGAAATTCTTTGTTTAATTACTTATTTGTCTATTAGAATACTCTATTTTCATTAATTATTTTGAAAACCTAAGTGTAATGCAATCAATTTTCTTGATTTTTCTTAGGCGTCCTATTTTATATCGCATAGTATGTCAATAGAAAAATTGGAAACACGAGGTGTGAGGCGACAAGCACTGCAGTGGATTACATTCTACTTCATTAATACGAGTATGTCGAACTAACAAACAACAGTCACTGGGAAGTGGGAATAGGAATATATGAAACTGCCTCGGTGGTCGAACAGTTACCATGCTGCACTGCCACGCAGAGGTCCCGGGTTCGATTCCCGGGCCGGGAGAAATAATTGTATAGACTACATTTATTTCTCTCGTAAGTCTGGGTGTAATTTGTGGTTGTCTATGTGTGTGTCCATGGCACCCGCGATACAGGGGTTTCCTAGTGCGGGATTATGTGTGTGTGCGCGTGTGCGCGTTTTATGAAAAATTAATTAAGGCGTACAATCAAAGTTGGGTCCAACGACCTTTATTACTTTTATACAATCTTAATGACATTCCTTCTGGGACTAAAGCTTAAATCTCTTTGCCCACATTAGGTTTAAGCTGTTCATGTACTGTTTTTGTTTGTGCATGTGAGCAATGGTGTATATCTATCTATCTATCTCTTTGTAGATGATGTATCAACAGTGATAAGCAGTGGCAAGAAAACATGTATTTTAGAAATTCATAAACCTAATTCAATTAAAAGTGTGATCAACAGCACATGGTAACAATTAATTTTACAGGAATTAATGGATCGAGTTCCTAGGTTTTCGCAATTGTTACATATATAGGAAATGAAACTATTTTTCCGGATTTTAATCTTTCTTTGTTTATATATTGGTTTGTTTAAAAAACACAAATGTATGCGATTTCAATCCGGAATAATAGTTTAATTTCCTATGAAATTTATGGAATTGAAAGCATGAAGAGGAAATCAATAAGTTCGTTTACATTCTCAAGAGCCTTCTTTACTTTATGAATCAGGAGACTACTTTATCGGCTTATCGCGTAGGTATTGATACGAGGGGTTTGGAAAAATACTTTCTATGTCAATGTCGATTTAAATTGACTTTTTTTTTATAACATCAAGTGACGGGACGAGCAAGTCGAGCGCCTGATGTTAAGCTACGCGCCTGTCCATAACAGTTTTTCACCAGTATCCTTATCCTTCAAAACTAGAACACAGTAATGCCGTCATTACAGCTTGGCGGCAGAAATAGGTAAGCGGCAGTATTACCCTTTCTTTTCTTTTTTTAATGGCAGTACTACCCTGGACGAACTCTATCACAAGAAGCTCTTCAAGCCACTAATAACGTTTTAAATTCAAATTCATTATACATACAGGGTAATCTTCAGGTGATATTCCTTTGTTTCCCGAGTAAATTGTCTGCAATACTTTGATAGCCTCATCGTGTTTACCCTGGGCGACGAGGTATTTAGGACTCTCCGAACCAAAAGCCATAAGTGTAGCTGCTATGACGAATAAAGCTGAATTTAATATGACTAGTAGTCTCCAGGGGCTGAAGTCATAAAGTCCAAAGTTTGCTCTGAAATTTGTTGGAAGAATGGCCCAGGCTAATACTGAAACGATAGAATAAACGATAAACGTTACAAATACAATTGGAACTTCATTATCCAAATAGGTGATTGGGACTATCTTCTGCGATGGTCCAATAGATTATTTAGTGACTATCGGAGAAGAAACGTTGTATGTAGTCACATTTATCGGATAAGTTCGTACAACGAACGGTTTGCGGTTCACGCAGAAACCTACTCAGAATTCTGTCGTGCCGCCATGCTTAAATTAATTTAAAAAAAAGAAAATTTTAATACTCCTATTAATACAAAGATCGAACACTTATAAAAAAATCCTTCGATCCGGCCGGATTCGAATCGACGTCTTCTAGCAAATCGTGCCAGACGCCATGCCAACTAAGCCACGGAACGAACCAGCGGACCTCACGAATTTTTCTATGCGCTTGTTGTCGAATTTTTGTATTGGGTTTTCAACGACTTTTTAGCCGAAAATGCTTTCATAGTTTTAATTTTTTTTTTGTTTTTAGTTTCGTGACGAAATACTTTCATAGATTTCTCATGACCATCATGAGATAATAACTAATAAAACATGAATAAAATAAAAATAAAACATTTGAAAGATGTGAGGTCCCCAACATTAGTCTAGTGTGAGTATGGCGAACTAAGGACTAACATACTCTCCAAAAAAATACCCGTCGTGCCTTTTGGTGAAACATAGGTTAGGTAACATTAGGTGATATAGGTAACATGTGATTGGCTATGCAAACACTGTTTACGTCACTACACTGTGGTTAACTAATAGTTTCTTCTCCGTAGTAATTTTGTTTTACATCAGAAGTAGTAGTTAATGCATTAATTGATTATTAATTGGGTACTTCATACTGTGACATATTGCATATTATTTTACAAATAAAGATGTCGAATAATCGTTTACTGATCGCATATTGTAACATTCTTAAAGTCATGTATTTTTAGGTGCGTGAAACTTATACTATTTTTTTTATTTGGTAGGTAGAGGGTCAAGAGCACGTCAAGCTTGACACTTAAGACATAAATCCAACTGTATGCCGCTTACGATAATAACGGTCCAAAGTACAAACTGTCAAGTTTGATGTGCTCTTGTCTGATATGAGTTGAGTCTTAAGTAAATTTATAGAAACCTGTGAAAGTCTCTGATTTACTCTTACTGCAATCATGTAGATTTAATCTTGAGTATAGTTCGTGCCATTTTGCTGTCAACAGCGGTCATTGACTCTACTTTAAGCCCGAAAACACTGATAACCGATCCTTATAAATTTGTCGCAAATTTGACATCGCTTAAGTAACATAATCAAAGCCAATAACAAAAAAAATGTGAAATTGAGGCATATCTGTGAATTTATTTATATGTTAATTAATAACACATTTTTATTATTATCATTATCAATATAATTTGAATACAATATTGTCGTTTTAATAATATACATGTTTAATGAAAAATAAATAATTTGACAATATGAAAAACGATAGGTTTGACTTAACCTTTGGTAGCCCAATGACTTCACATTAAAACTATATTTAAAACTCAGTACATATTAACTATAATTCAGATTCTTTAATTTAAATATTTTAAAAAGCCAGGCTCAAATGGGATGGGGCAGTCCACGTTAGCCGAATGCAACCTGAGAAGTGGGCGAACGTCGTCAGTCCTTGAGTGCCTAAGGATGGAAAGAGACGGCGTGGATGGCCGAGAAGGCGTTGCTGGGACGATCTTGAGGGAGTGGTGGAAGATCGCCAAAGACAGGGAGCAATGGAGGACTTTGGGGAGATCTTTGCCCAGCAGTGGGACATAATAAATAAAAAATAATTTACCATTGTGCTATGGACACGTTAAAGCGACCACCAATGGTCGGAAAAAGGTGTTCCACATATATACACATAGCTACAAGAAGCGACATAGAGTTTAAAAAAAAATGGTTTTACTGTATCGTAGGAAGCCGAAGTCGGACTTTAAAGTAATTCTAATAGTGCCATATAAAAAATGCAGTAGATTATTGACACCCTTAGGGAGACGCCACATGGTGGGCTGAAACGACATTCGACATTCTGATTTATACAACGCAGTTGCGACGACGCAACGCCCGTGTGGCATCTCCCTTAGTGCCATTCCGTCAATATGCGGGGCGCGGTACGGTGTCTAAAGCTAGGGAGGGGTGGAGAGTGACCATTCTCATATATACATATGTATCTATGAACGTGGAACACCTTTTTCAGACAATTGGCGACCACAACTTGTTGTGGACGTTTTTTCGCTCAATGTGCGTTTACGATCTTTAAACCTAACGTAATTATACAGTGGTAGGAAGGGTGAATGAACGCTATTGCCATTCTAAACGACATAAATGCACTAACGGCTGTGCATTTTAAATACATTAAAATCAAGTTTTGCATTTACTGGTTACCATTCAACCAAGTCATATATTATCGTAATGTAGGCCTCGTATACAGCAGCTATATAATGAGAAAATGTAGAATATTTGTATACGGATGTGTAAAGTTTGTTTGGTCGCCAAGTACCTACGCATATACATTATGGCTAATCTCGTAAGACCAATAAACCATGTCGAAATCCTTATTTCCAAAAGTTTTGATACGGTGTGGACCATACACGAAAAGCTTGAGATTTACCATTGTTGACCTTTTTATTCCACTAGTACATAGGGCGCACTATAAGTTTCCGGAACTGGCCACTTACATAAACAATATTTGAAAAGTAATTACAACATTTGAAAATGGAACTCTTTAGCTGTACAATACAGTTTGTTTCATCTGGCTGTCACTTGTTTTTACATTGTGGCGTCATTTTAGAAATTGGTTGTCTACGTCACCATGGAGTTAACTCGTGAAAATTTTCGTAGTATGATTTTCTACAACTTTAAGTGTAATGCAACAGCTCAGCGGAGCTTCGCTCGGCTTCAAACTGCTTTAGGCGATGAAGCACCATGCAAGACGACTATTTATAGCTGGTTTGCAGAATTCAAACGCGGTCGTGTGAATCTCAGTAACGAATTGTGTGATGGAGGCCCGTCCACTGCAGTGAAAAACAAAAACATCGATGATGTGTGCCGTATGATCAAAATAGATAGGCATGTGACATACTATGAGATTCGGGCGTCTTTGGGTATGGGTCTGAGTCAAATACAATCAATACTACACAAACATTTGGGTGTGAAAAAGCTGTGCTCTCGGTGGATCCCACACAATTTAATTGAGGCTCAAAAAACAGATCGCGTCACTTGGTGTAATTCTATGCTTACCAGATTCAACGAAGGGGCGTCAAATTTGGTGTGGGACATAGTAACAGGTGACTAAACATGGCTTTATAGTTACGATCCCAAAACAAAGCAGCGGTCGAGCATATGGGTCTTTCGGGATGAGTCGAAACTATCCAAAATGATGCTCGTGCAAAGTGCCTCTAAGCGGATGATTGCTTCTTTTTTTAATAAAACTGGACACGTGGCTAGTGTTGCTTAGGAGAATCGTTGTACCGTGAATAGTGATTGGTACACGACCATTTGTTTGCCGGAAGTTATTGACCAACTCCGTAAAAATAACCATAAACGCCGTATCATCTTGCACCACGATAATGCTAGTTCTCACGGCCAGACAGACAAATGAATTTTTGAAGGTAAACAACGTTGACCTTATGAGCCATCCCGCGTACAGTCTTTTATTTATTTCCAAAAATTAAGAACCAGTTACGCGGTCAACGATTTTCATCACCTGAAGAGGCTGTCGAAGAGTATGAAAAATAAGTTTCAGCGATTGTGACGGAGGAGTGGCATAAATGTTTTCAGAATTGGTTCATTCGTATGAAAAAGTGCATTAACGCTAACGGAGAATATTTTGAGAAACAATAAATTCATTTCTGACCATTTATAGTATTTTTTTCTTATTCATACCGGAAACTTATAGTGCGCCCCATGTAGGCACAGGCATCGTCTTTTAATTAATATGTGACAAGGACTAAGGGACGTATTCAAGAACTCTACTCAATGCTCAAGTCAGGACTTGAGTATGATTTAAAGCACTAGAATCCTACTCAAGTCCTTGCCATTCGGGTCGTATTTCCAGTGCTTGAAATCATACTCAAGTCCTGACTTGAGCATTGAGTAGAGTTCTGGAATACGTCCCTTAGATAAATTCTTCACAGAATCCTAGCACGTCCCCATTTCAACCATTTGGATTATACGTTTGGAATCCATGCCGTATACTTACTCGGGGCTCGGTTCATCAGCGATTTCTCGTTACTCTACAATTTTTTAAATGTCTCCTTATCCCGGTGGAGTTATTTTGTGATGGATTGACTATAAAAGGTTATTTGGAAAATACTAGGAATCTCGTATGACGATGTTAGTAACATCATAAATAACAACTTTTGTTCCATGACTTTTTACAAAACATAACTACTTTGCCCTAAAGAAACTTTTACATTTTTGTTGTAGTACCTATTTGTATTTGGTGCCTAGTAGTAGCTAGTAAGTTCACCCCCGTTCCTGTATTTTGTATCGGACTGCTATATTTGTTCTCACGCTCTGTTTTGTTACCGCACAGATTTATCACAGTTTAGAGAGATCTATTTAAATATTTTTATTATTGTACGCAAGTAAAATCTGATTAATTATTAAAAACCTTGGAACAAAATTTGTTGTTCATGATATTAGTATAATGTAATGATTAAGTGACTTGCCGGATGGGCAAAACCGCTCTGGGAGAAACCCGTATTATATATACATAATTATACTTACAAGGAACTAATGCAGAGCCCAGGATCTGCATAGCGTTAACCACGGACATGGTGAGGTCTCTGTTTCTTTGAGGAACTATTTCTCCTATGAACGTATACGGCACAGCTGCTGGGCTTGCTATGCTGACGAATACAGATAGTAAAGTATTTACTATATTATATTATTAAGGCCGCTTTAAATTAGACGCCTATAGAAGCATTGCAGCGCCACAGTGGTGCCACTGTGGCGCTGCAGCCGCGCTATTACTAATTTTCATACAGTATTTAGAAATGCAATTCCAGTGTCACTGTCGTCAACCCGGGAATCTCGGCAACGAAAATTTCGAGTCTCGACAATTTTTTTGCATTTTCGAGACTCGAGACTGACGTTTTGAGTCTTGGGAATACCGCGACTTTTAAAACTAATTAAAAAGTAAGTTATTTAATTAAAAAATATTAAAAATGTACTAAACCATCAGTTATTTTTTATTCTGTTTACATGGACGTGGTAAAACTGTAGAGTACAGCTTGGCACTTATAATTTGTGGAGATTGAAGAACGGTAGTAACAAAATCAGGTGCTCTACATCTGAAACTGTATTAGACGTCCTTTGTTTCTTAAGAAACTTAAGGTACTTAAGTACCCACAACAAAAATGAAAAAATTACTTTCGTAAATAATTTTTCATTTTATATTAATTAATTTGAAAAAATATGTTTTGCCAACCTAAATAACTAGTATTCAAGTATGGAAACCTACTTTTAAAACAGTCTCGATTTTCCCGGGATTTTCGAGACCGCACCTAGTCCCCATATTTTTTCCCGGGAAGTGGAAAGCCCTAGTCATGATAGGCTTTTGCAGTCAAATTTTAGTGAACTAAAAATTACTGAAGCGCTGAAGACGCGCGGCTGCTGCGGCACTGTCAGGCTTCTACAAGCATCTATTTTGAAAGCGCCCTAAAACCATTATGTTATGTGATTAAACCATGTTATTCAATTCAATTAAAATATCAATTCGAATGTTGTTCTGCATTTTATACATTTCCACTGTAATGTTGCGGCCACGTGTAGACGAAGAAATTAGTTATTTAAAAGTCAATAACATGGCGAGGGAGCCATATCTTAGTTGCTTGTCGGCCTTTATTCAGGTTCCATTTAAGTAAATCAATTTAATAACACTAGAGAATAATGAAACGAAATCAAAATAGTGAGCCCTTATCGCAATTTTATAGGGAGCCCTTATCGCATTTCTATAGGGTGCCCTTATCACTGCACACTAATTTTCTCTACGTTTTACCTATTAAATATACAAACATTTCATCTATTTTTATTCTTTTATATTTTGTCGGAAATTGGGAGGGCTTTTAAACAGCTTAAGGGAAGGTTCCCGGCAAAGACGGATTAACCTCTGAGCTTCTCAGGGCAGGAGGAGACCCATTATCGGTCGGTCTTCGGATGAATTTAGACAAAACTAAGGTCTTGTTCAATGAGCTCATTATCCCGGAACCGATCTCGATTAATGGCGAAACGCTCGAAGTTGTCTACCTCGTGCAAACCGTGCTAGGTAGAGACAACTCTGCAGAAGGCTATACGCCGGGGTGACCCGGAGTATGGCCTTATACGGGGCTCCCATTTGGAGCGGGGCCTTATCAGCGGCGACGAAGTCGCTGCTGAGGAGGCTCCAGAGGGTGGTCGCCATGCGAATGTGCAGGGCGTACATGACGGTGGTTAGCGCTGCCGCATGCGTCCTCACCGGTACTCCGCCGTGGGATCTCGACGCCGAGGTCCTGGCGGAGGTCCGCACCTACCGGTGGGGAATGAGGGACCGAGGCGAGCGACCCGCTCCCTAAGAGGTGGAGCGGGAGCGGCGCAGCGCATGCGGAACCGGTGGAAAGAGGGCTTGGCAGATCCCCCTATGGAGCTCTTACCATACAGGCGATCCGCCCTGTCCTCGTAGAGCGGGTAAACCGGTCCCACGGGCCACTGTCGTACCACCTTGTCCAGGTGCTGACCGGGCACGGCTGCTTCGGTCACTACCTGCACAAGGTGGCGAGGAGGGAACCGCCCCGTCGTGCCACGAGTACGGCGCTGCGGATGACACCGGGCAGCACACCCTAGAGGTGTGTAGCCGGTGGGATGAGCAGCGCCGCACTCTGATGGGGACTGTAGGGCAGGACCTCTCGCTGCCGAGCGTGGTTGCCGCCATGCTCGGTAGCGAGGAGTCCTGGGAGGCAGTGGCCTCCTTTTGTGCAGAGGTTATGTCGCAAAAGGAGGCCGCGGAGCGGGTGCGCATCCGCCGCGTCCTCACGCACCCGCTCCGCAGATGTACGTCCGGCGCAGACGTACGGGGAGAAGGCGAAGGCAGTTCGCTGCTCGCCTGATCCCCTAGTGAGGACCAGCGGGCTCTGGACAGGGACTCCGGAGCCTGCATTGCACGGCCTCACTCGTCTGGGGGGCGGATCGGAGGACAACCGACTCGCCCCTCCGTTGGCGCGGGAGTCCTGGCGTAAGCTAGCGCGGCCGGGCGGCGTCGTGGTGAATGTTCACTGATCCCACGGCGCCGACTCAACCGGCGAGAGGGAAACCTGGGGGGGTTTTAGTGGGGTAGGCCCTCCAGTCTGGAAGGAGAGTCCCCACATAACCCCTGAGTCTCCCTGGGCTTAGGGGTATCCATAAAGATTTCCCCCCGTCAAAAAAAAAGGTAGAGACAACTTCGAGCGTGAAATAGCTAGGAGAGTGCAGCTCGTACATGACGGTGGTCAGCGCCGCCGCATGCGTCCTCACCGGTACTCCGCCGTGGGACCTCGACGCCGAGGTCCTGGCGGAGGTCCGCACCTACCGGTGGGGAATGAGGGACCGAGGCGAGCGACCCGCTCCCCAAGAGGTGGAGAGGGAGCGGCGCAGCGCATGCGGAACCGGTGGAAAGAGGGCTTGGCAGATCCCCCCTATGGCGCTCTTACCATACAGGCGATCCGCCCTGTCCTCGTAGAGTGGGTAAACTCGCCCCTCCGTTGGCGCGGGAGTCCTGGCGTAAGCGAGGGCGGCTGGGCGGCGTCGTGGTGAATGTTCACTGATCCCACGGCGCCGACTCAACCGGCGAGAGGGAAACCTGGGGGGGTTTTAGTGGGGTAGGCCCTCCAGTCTGGAGGGAGAGTCCCCACATACACCCTGAGTCTCCCTGGGCTTAGGGGTATCCATAAAGATTTCCCTCCGTCAAAAAAAAAAAGGTAGAGACAACTTCGAGCGTGAAATAGCTAGGAGAGTGCAGCTGGGTTGAGCAGCATTTGGGAAACTGCGTCATGTCTTCTCGTCATCACCCCCTCAGTGCCTGAAGTTTACAACCAATGCGTCCTACCGGTCATGACTTACGGAGCCGAGACGTGAAATATGACGGTCAAACTGGCCCACAGACTACACATCGCTATGCTATGGAAAGGTCTATGCCGGGTATCTCGTTAAGCGATAAAGTCCGGGACGAAGTTATTAGACTAAAGTTGTGGACATCGTCCAGAAATAAGGCAAGCTGAAGTGGCAGTGGGCTGGCCATATCTGTCGCAGAACCGATAACCGATGGAGTAGACGGGTTCTCGAGTGGAGACCACGTCTCGGCAAACGTAACGTAGGACGTCCCCCTGCAACGACCGACGATCTGAAGAAGGTCGCGGGTAGTAGTTGGATGCGGAAAACGGGTGATCGGGCATTATGGCGTACACTTGGGGAGGCTTATATCCAGCAGTGGACTGCAATAGGCTGATTGATTAATTGATTGATTGATTTTGCCGGTATCTTTATATTATACAAACTTGACATAACAAACTAGTGGAGTAATTTCACAAAAAATAATGGGACATCATGGTCGTAAAACATCGTGACATTTAGATAAACTTAGTTGACACAATGTGATTATGAAATTTTTATCATGCAATAGGTATGCTTATGACCAATAAAAAAGTTGATAAGATTGTTAAGAAAATTACGATCTCATTATGTAACTGACGGTGTAGTCAAGGATAGCACACTCTTGAGAAGCCAATTTTAAATAATATTTTTAGTTGCCGATCATCTACAGATCTTCGTGATACTTTTATATAATGGAGAAGCTTTTATATAACTCTGATGTCAATTTACATTGCCGCATTCTACTGAAGATAAGGAAAATCTCTGTTTATTATTATTTTATTCTGGTTCTGCATATTTGTCGTGAGATTAGGTTGTAACAATAACATTTCATCTTGTACAAATATTTAATAGTGTTTAGTGTAAAGGGCGTCAGACGGCTATGCCACACAGAGGGAAATAGAAAATGTTACTGAAAGAATAGTCAAAATTACATAATTGGTCTTACTGGGAATCGAATCCAAGACGGTGGTCTTGGATTCATCCAGCGCGCACACTGCAAACATCAAACATTGTCTCACCGAGGTCAAAAACGTACAAAAGTTACGTTGATAACCTAGATGTCAGAATGCTAGCCTCGATTAATCGAGTATGCAACTCTAGGTAACTCTGACACGGATCATTAAGTGGTATTTTCGAATAATGTTTAGTAATTACTATAAATTATAACTTGCTTGGTGAAGAGAAGCATCTAACGAAACCCAAACGCTGCGTCCTCATAGGTTCCAAACTTTTCGAAGGCGAAATAAATCTCTAACCGACATGCTGATGCGTAAAATTCCCGAACTCATATTATGTTCCACGTTTATCTTTTGCAGTTTTATTTAGCGTAGATAAACTTGTATAGCTAAAAACAACGTAGAGAAAAACGAGATTTAAAATTATTTCACAACAGCGAAAAAAAGACTTTTGGCTCTATCGTTTTCGTTCAGTAACTTCAATTTTTGACAGGTGTCAACGTCAAATGTGGAAAATTAAAGGAAAAACATCCGGAAAATATTTATTTTTCTGAAAAATATTATTTTTCAAAATGGAAATTTTTTCATGACCCAACACGAAACCAGCATTAGATAAATCTCTCCTTGGCTGAAACCACCTTATGTATTAATATATCTATATTGTACGTATAATACGTAATAAGTACCATTTTGTATGGATGAACATTTTGACTTACCACAGAGCATTCATAAATTTGCAAACAATGAAGCTAATACGTTCTGGCATGAACGCAGACAGCATACCGAAGAAACCGGCGGCCATTGAGCTATAGATCAGCGTGCGCTTGCGTCCCTGTGTGTCCACAATGTAGCCCCATGGATATGAGGTTATTACAATACCTGCAAAGTATTTATACCATAGTTAAAGCAATTTGAACTTTTGAATATCTGATGGAATGAAGGTTCGAAATAACCAAAATATTTTTTTTTTCGTTAATTATCATCGGATAAAATTTAAAGTTTTGTCTCTTTAATTTTTGACTAAAAATGACAAACAATGAAAAACTTAGTAAACACGACGAAAATTCTTTAGGACAACGATTTAATTTCAGTCCTTTTTTTTAGTGTCATGTATACATACAGTCACCCCACCCTATTCTTTTTTATTATGATATTACCCACTGTAATAAAGTAAGTGAGGATGTTTTTGTCAGGCACAAAGACGCAATGTTAGTTTTTAAGATTTTTGCTCTATCAATATTATATTTTTACTTAAATAGACTGAACTCCTTTGCCGCGGATAAAGCAGGAAGGGCTTTTGTGAGCGAAGCTTGTAATTCATAAATAAGTACTTTTTTCTGTATTTTGGTCAATAAACAAAAAAATATGTATACGGCTAACATACATAAAGTACATGCATTTTTTGTGAATGAACTACTTATAGTTTAAAAGAAAAAAAAAATACGGTGGCGTTGCTACGGAGGATTCTTTGTAGCCAAGCTACCTGTTATTTATTAATACTTGTAAATGCAATTATAGCTATTTTTCTGAATTAAGCGAAAGTTCAAACCTGAATTACGTACATATAAAAATAGGCGCGAAATGTAAGCACAAACAGTAATTACTTGTAATTATTGATTTGTTTTATTTTTTGTGACGTAACTCCACTAGTTTTTTATAAAGGATATTTTCTTTGTGTTCGTTCTTTGTATTTAATAATTATAACAGTAATTACAGGTTTCTGAAAAATATAAAACATGGACAAAATAACAAAACGGTGGCATACAATGAAATTGAAGAACCGTATTCTCGTTACTTTTAAGACTTGCAGCTTGTGAAAGCTGGCTCGAAAGTTCGTTAGAATGCTAATGACAATGGGATATTTACAGGGTGATATGAATACAATGCAAAATAATTACTTACCTATATAAGGAATTGACGCGATAAAACCTCGTTGAGCATCAGTCAGCTGGAGATCGCATTTCGCCGCCGGCAGTACGAATGAGTACCCTACTGGTTCGACTATAGCTGCTATTAGGAATAATGCTAATACTAGACAGTATTTTGCATTGTACCAGCCGAAACCTGCAAATTTGTATTTTTATTAGGTACTTTTATTTAATGTTACGTCGTACCCTTTAGGCTGCCTTTCCACCAGAGATGTGCGAGGTAGCGAGTGTGCGAGAATGTGTAGCGGCGCGATGCGAATATGCGTTACAGACTCTTTTCAGTTTAGTGCGGGCGGGATACGGTGTGATGGGTGAGCGGTGGCGATTTGTCAGTGTCAGTTAGTGTCATATTTTCAGTAGTTTTAATTTCCTACACCGTTTTGTACAAATTATCTGCATCGTAATAATCGTCTGCATCCCTTGCACACATCTCTCGCTATTTTGTATGTACAAATACTTAGCTCCGCTAAACCTTTTCCACCGGAGCTGCGCTATGCGAGGCCAGGAAAATGAAGTAATCCTATTGGTGGATTTTTTCCTCGCACACCGCCTCGCTACGTCGTACATCTCTGATGGAAAGGCAGCCTTACGGTCGTTTTAAATTGCCGCAACTAGGCGACACACGCTGCGATACATGATGCGATAAAACGAGTTTTAATTGGTCCTACCGAAAATTGAACCCGGGATCTCTTTATCCAGTGCCCACAGTGCAAACAATTGGGCCATCCAGGTGGTCGGACCTATTTGTACATATTACATACATATTATTTGTGAGACATAGGTACTTGTACATATTATTTGCGTGAAATCTACAAACTGCTTAAACACGACCATTTATCCATAAAGCAATTTTCTCTGAGAAGAAATAGTACAGATTAATAGACCAATACTGCATTACGGTTTTTAAGAATGATTGCAGGCACTTGGGAGTTGACAACTCAAGTCTTAGAGATTTCCCTCAGATCTTTGCAATACAGAGCGGCACAGCAACTGTTATGGACAGGCACGTCGCTTACCATCACGCGCACGACTTGTTCTTCCCGTCACAAGGTATCAAAAAAATAACTTTATTTAGTGGATATGAAGTTCTATATTGCATTGCTCCTGGCGATGATTTAGAGATGGCTATATTTCATTGTAATTTTAAAAGACATCGCAATCGAATCCACAAGCACCACAGTTTCTCTTTTTCATACTTATAGTAATTTTATTTTATTTAAGGTTACAGTTTTATCATTCCACTATCTTGTTAGATGTACAAAATAGTATATATATATTTGTTAATAAATAAATAAATTGTTATTTCGAAAGTTCCTACAAACTTTACATACAAAATTTCTTCCGTTCTTCAGTTCCTACAAAATTTACTACATAGTGTGATGTTGAGCCGCTATTTGCCTTTCGAAGAAATTATTGTTGTTATATACCTGCGGCGCCGGCGGTACAAGCTGCCGCCGACGACAGGATGCGCCCGCGCGGCATTGCTCTTTTGTTAGAAAAAATGTATAGGTACTTAATTTAGTTACGATTGATGATGATGTGAGATAAATTATTTATTTGTTTACACATTTTAGGAAAATTCGGGGATAAATAATACAAATTACGTTCTATATTGTATTGCATTTTATGGAGTGCGTCGGTGCAACTCGTCTGTGGTCACCGTACCTCTAGCTGCATCTTCGTTTTCATTTTATGTTTAAATAAATGCAACATTATCTTGTGAAAGATAAAGTGTATGTTGCATTGCTCATTTTCGTGCATTGCAGCTTTCTGGCGGGACGCCTATTAAATTGTAACCATAACTGTTTTGCTTCAGATGTAGACGTTAAGCGTAAACGCTTATAAAGAAAAATTAATACTTATACCATATCGAAAGCGAAAGTTACTTATGTTGTTAGGTATGAAATGCCTTGCAAAGGAAACAGTACTTAATCTTTTTTTTATAATATCGAGTGACGGGACGAACAAGTCGTGCGCCTGATGGTAAGATACACGTCTGTCCATAACAATTACAGTGCCACTCAGAGCTTTAAATCGCAAAGATCTGAAGGACTCTGCCACTGCGCCCGTCATCCTGAGACATAAGTTGCCAAGTCCCATGTGGTTGTAATTTCACCAGCACCCTGCAAAACCGGAACACAGTAATGCTGACATTACTGTTTGGCGGCAGAAATAGGTAAGGTGGCAGTACTACCCTGGACGAACTGTTTTGCAAGGATCTTTAGGTACATTTAAATTACAAGTTGTGCAAGTTTAGGGTTCCTGAATTTTTATTTAAATTTAAGTGTTGAAAAAATGACCGACTCAAGAATATTCATTCTTGATGAATATTCATGCTTCATGAAAAGTCTAATTACGACGCAGTAAACAATAAAAAATTCTGTTAATTTGCTTTATTTACCTATTGTAAATGAAATTTTATTATAGGTAGGTACTAAATATGCGAAAGTAAATTTATGAAAGTCATTACGGATATCTGAAAACTGCTTAGGTACCAAGCTAGAACAATAAATAAATATAAATAAATGACTAAAATACACAAAGAAGCGATATAAGTACACAATCAATCAAAAATAAATTACCTTCTTAGGTACCTATTCCAAATTTAATAATTATGTCATAAAGATGTGACGTCAGTATCTCATACACAGAGTGGTTCTTCGTGAAATGTGCATAAGTGAGTATTTGTAACTTTTGTGATAAGTAATTTTGTAGAAATACATACAAACACAAATGTATGTGACGCACTAATAAAATGTGTTGTCGTACCTACATAAAAATAACTAACGTGTTTTGTTGTTTATTTCTCTAACTGGCTTTATTTTTAAGTATAAAAGTATAAACTGTAGAAAGTAATTTTCTAAGATTAATGTTTTAACAATGAAGGAAAAACATTAATTTACTGTTCGTGTCCGACTGACAAGGTTAGGTCGCGTCACGCTTAACCATGAAAAATTAATACAAAACAGTTTAATCAATGTCTTGTATAACAGCCATTAGAAATTACGTAGATATAGTTTTTGTAAGCTTACCTACTTATTATCTAGTATTTCTCATTGTAAGTGTTTGTATTCTCTGTGGAGAAATAAGTCTTAAACCATGAAATTGTATGCTTAATATTTATTTTATTCTATGATTTTTTTTATTGATTTATTCAGAATAAATTATATTTTAATCCTTAAAACTCGGATTATAAAATCTGAGCCTTAAAACTACATATTTTTAAAGTCGAAACGTTATTTTCAGTTTTTCTCTAAAATAATCTTATTGCAAATTATATAAATTAACATATCTTTTTTATTTTGGATTTGTTATTTAGTTATTGGAACCATGCCAAAACAAAATAAAATTTTCGTAAAATATTAAGTCTCAATCACATGTAAAATTAACTGATTTATAATCTGTGTGACGATAACTAGTGAAGATGGTTTGATATAACATTATAATGAGACTGCACGGGATGACTGCTAAACAAGTCTTAAGTCTAAGCCACCTTACTCTATACATGGGTTGTAGTAGTAGTACGCAGAGAAAGAGTTGCAAAGAAAAAAAAAGGAAAGTTTATTGGTGTAGTGTACGGTGGACAGTCGGTAACGTACTACGTAATATAAAGTTTGCATCACGTATTTAAGTTAAAGTGCGGTACGTGGCTAAAGTAGATCGCCGCGTGCGCAGAGTTACATCGAAGAATGTATGAGATCATATTTTTTTTTATAATATCATGTGACAGGACGAACAAGTCGTGCGCCTGGTGGTGAGCTACACACCTGTACATAACAGTTGCAGTGCCACTCAGCTTTTTAAATCGCAAGATCTGAGGTGCACTGCCACTGCACTCGTCACCCTAGACATAAGTTGACAAGTCGCATGTGCCTGCAATTTCACCAGCACCCCTACCCTTCAAAACCCTTCTGCTTTTTTTCTTTCCTTTGGGTTGGCAACCCAAAAGAAAGAAAAAAGCACAGAAGCAAAGAAGTGCACTCTAAGTGGAATCACACCATTCGTTTAGAAAGGAGTTTAAGTACGTACCATGCAAGATCTTTTTTTAAAGATTGAATTTGTTAATTTAGCTAAATAGTTGATCGTTTATGTTTAGGTGTGATTGGAAACCGTCCATGACGGGGTGTCCATGATTGGAAATTGGGCTGTCCATGTAAGGACACTCAAACACGGTCTACTTTTTCTCGAATAACAATGTTTTCTTTATTAATTGCTCTGATTTCAATAATTATTTGAAGATTTTTTTAATCTATTAAACCTTTCTTCGAGTTTCACAGGGTAATTCATCCAAAATCAAAAGACTAAAACAAAAAATAAATCTTTAAACCGTCCATGATTGGTTCCACTACTTTACGAGGAATAATTATATACAGAGTGTTTTTTTCAAAGGGACAGTATGGGGAAATTTGAAACCATAGAAGATACAAGGAAACTGTCTTAGGAACCATTAAGTCTGTTTTTGTGAAATCAATTTTATCATAGTCAATTTTTAGTCAAGTGTGAGTTGCGCATAAAAATGATTTAGTTTCGTCGGGTCGACTTAGTTTTACGTAAGCTTTAAGTAGCTAATGACTAATACTTTGCAGCATTATTTTCATTTATATCTGATTGTTTGGTCAGTGCACGCACTTCATTCAAACTCGAGAACACTTTAATATTATTTGTTAATTTAAATGAAACGAACACTAAATGTCAATGCAAGCTTATTTTATTATACTACCGAAAACCAAATCCAAATTAGTTCTCTAATTGTGGAGTTTAGCGTGTACAAACGCACAGACTCATAGACAAAAATTATTAAAACTGACGTGTTTAGTGGCATGTCTTGAGTAGGTAACACTGATTTATACTTAAATATTACTAAAATGCTTATAACATATTAAGTGCAGACTCAGATTTTGTAACGATTTTATTACACTTATTGACTATAGAGTAGGCACAAAATAAAAGTACTTATAATATCGATATAAAAAAATGTTTCATACATAAATATTTAATACCTGCAATGTTCAACGCTTGGTCCAGATCCACAGAATTTTTTTCACTATTCTCTACATATTCAGTAACTGTTTCAATTTTTTTTCCCGCTCTCATTTTTACAATGAAAGAAAATAACTATTAATTGTAAATTAACGACACTTTTTTATTTATCATGTATGAACTACTCAAGAAAACCGCACTGTTCTATTTTTAGTTCTAGTTCTATTGTAAGCAGCAATTTATTTAAAACGATTTGAAAATTGGGCTTATCGTAGTCACTTTGTTATTTATTTATTCTTAAATAGACGTCCGCACACAGCGAATTCGCGCGTTGATTGACAAGAAAACAAACTTAATTGGTATAAAAGTAGATAATTATCTCTCACTTTATTTAAACTCTTATATAGTATATGGCGTTACGCCAATATTAATAGCGCCGTGGCGTGGCGAAAATAGTCACGATCGTATGTCGTAAAAATGTGAAGACTAACAACACCATAGTAACGTGTAAACAGTAAAATTCTTATTATACTACCCGATTTCAAGGCCTCTGCGGCAAGGGTTCGGTTGTATTATTAGGGCGCCAGTCTTATTAGCTTAAATATAAGTTCCCCTATTTAGGGACTCAGCTTCCTAATTTAAAATAGACCAATTTTAAAACATATACCGTTCATTTAAATATAATTTTTACTTGGACTAAGTCCACATCTTATAACTTAATTTCATGTAATACTCGTTTGATATAATATTCACATTTTGTAAGAACATAGTTCTTGTTATGTAATAACTTAACTTCATGTAATTCTTGTTTGATATATTATTCACATTTTATACGAACATAGTTCTTACTACGTAATAACCATTTCATGTATAGTCAATTATGATAATTTTTACATGGTATAACATCACTGTTTGTAAATAATACGGCTTGCCGTGGTACTTGTCTGTTCAATACTAGAGTGTCATTTAAAAGCCGGAGGTGCAAAGGTAGTTGTTTTCCATAATAATAATATAGAAAGTTACAAGCTGAATCTTCGTTACAACAAAATTTTTATTGTTACACACTGGATGCCTAGGTAGTTTAAAGGAAAACAAATGTATTTTACATAGGTAAAATCTTGGTTGCGCCCTCCATTCAGTAGGTTAAGTTAGGTTATCCGGTAAGTACGTACTGTAAGCTAGGACGTACCTCGTGTTGCGTAGCGGAGGTACTTTTATAAATATAAACTGGGATAATCTCCAAAATATGGTTTATTGTACTTTTTTACATATTTTCTTACTGAGGCTACATCTCGAACTATCGAGACGTTCTATTCAAACATATTCTAAATATAAAACTATATTCACTCAGCCAGTAATTCTACTCATAGAGTAGAGCCTAGACTACATCTCTCTTCCTCACAACTGAAGGGGTGAACATCCCTAGCTGGTGCTCTACCAATGATAGGCAACTTATATAAGTGATCAGCCATTACTATAGGCTAGCCACACACTGCTCGGAAGCTACTATCTTACCAACACGTAAACCACTGAGGAGGCTATGGCTTTAGTCTGCCAAAAACCTATCTAAAAGGACAGACCATGACCACATCCTAATCAAACAATTCAAAATATAATTACTCGTTAGCTATCCTAGCTATTTAGGTAACCTGCCAAAATATAACTCTTTATTTCAACTACCATAGCTTGGCTGAATGATCCTAACAAATTTCTAAACATCACTACCAAAACTTCCTTAATGCATCACTAAACTATCTTCAACGTGCATGCTGCCACAACGACGACACAGGCTTGAGCATCCATCGGACGATCACTGGGTAAGATCAATAGCTGCCTTCGTCCTCATCCTGCAGCTATCCACGTTCCATCACCTTTTTTCACTTTCTTTAAACAAACCAGAACAAACACACATATAACCCTAACAACATATCCTAACATACATACGGGATGGGGGTATTCCATATGAAGGACTCCTAATAATTAAATAAATATATTTTCCCCGAATGCAGACAGTTCTTGTTCATCTGGGAGGGTGACCACGAACTATGCACTCACACAGGACAATATATCTATCAAATTAAAAAAAATAAGAAAGAAAAGTAAGTTATATCTATATATCTATCCAATCCAAGTCGGTAGTCTATCTTCTCCTCCCGTCCTTCCAAGTCTGCATTTGCCGGAAAATAACAACTTCCCTCAAAATATTCATCACAGTGGCACCATGGTTCCATATGAAAAACAAACATAAAATATTAATTAACCTAGTAGAAACTAAAAAAAACATTAAATTACCTCCTATACAATCTTTTCATTCTATTCACATGGACTAGATCCTGTCTACCCGATCTATTCCTATTCACACCTACTTTTCTCACAATATAATTACCTCTACTCAATCGATCTAGTACCCTACATGGCCCTTTAAATAATCTAGCTGATTTCACACTTCTATTGGAAATTCTCCTAGGACAATATAACATTACCAAGTCCCCTGGCTGATATACAACTACTTTTGCTTTCTTATCATAATTCCGCTTCTGTTTTATCTGCGTCCTCACTATTCGTTCCTTAACAACATCGATCAACGCTGCTTGTTTTGCAAACTTATCTTGCAAGTTCTCCGCAACTTTGACATAATTTATCCCCAATTCTATATCTGACGCACATAAGGATTCTCTACCGAACAAAACCATACATGGTGACACCCCGGTACTGCTATGTTTACTAAAATTTTAAGCAAAACACACCAATGGTAACATGCTACACCAATTCCTTTCAGCAACATTCCTAACAGCGTCCTATTAAATCTCTCACACAAACCATTGCACTTCGCATTGAATGCCGTAGTATGCACCATAATGGCACCAAAATCTCGCGCTGTCTCCTCTACCACATGAGAACTAAACACCGATCCTCTATCGCTTAAAACTTCTTTTACTCCGCCGTATCTACAAAATACCTCGGACACCAAAAAATCACATATTGCCATTGACTTCATATTGCTGTCACCCTGGTTACGGCCCTGCACACCACATACTTCGACAAATATTCTATACTCACAATTATATATTTATTACCTTTATCCGAACGATTAAACGGTCCTAAAATATCAATTCCGTCCACACGCTCGAAAATACCATTCACGGGAATAGAAATTAATGGTGCAATCGTTTTATTTAATAAACTTCATTCATTCATTCATTCATTCATTTATGTTACGCTCCTGACACAACTGACAACTCTTGACATACAATTCAATCTTTTTTTCAGCATTTACCATAAAGTACCTCTGTCTAAATCTTGAAAAAGTTTTAAACAAACCAAAATATCCGCCCGTCCAGGCACTGTCATTCAGTTCCTTCATACATTCCGAAAATAATTCAGACGGAACGACCACTAAATCAACTATATTTTGATTCAAACGACACTTATTATAAAGGATTCCGTTCTGTAAAAAGAAGCCTCGATAAATATCACCAACACCCGAACAAATGCAATTAATAATATTTCTACAAAATTCATCCGCTTACTTTTTACTCTGGACATCATCCGCACGCAAAACATATAACTTTAACTCATCCCTCTGCTCCGGTACACGCTCCACTTTCGACTCTATATCCTCCAGCAACGGATTCCTACTCAAGAAATCTGCAACAACGTTATCTTTACCCTTACATTAAACAATGTCGAAATCCCAACCTTGAATTGATAACGCCCATCTGGCTAATCTTCAACTCATATCTCTCTTGCTTTTTAACCATACAAGTGCCCGATGATCTGTAACTACCTGAAAACGAAGTCCCCATAAATCACTTTTAAAATAATTCAACGCCCATATAAGTGCTAAACATGCCTTCTCCGTAACAGAATATGTCTTTTCTGCTTCACTTAACTTTCTCGAGGCATAGCATAAGCTTTCATCTCTTAGGTTTCATCTCTCTTATTCCCTGCACTAAACAACATCCAATTGCATATCCACTGCTGTCCACATACAACCGCGTCACCTGTTCACTATTTGACGAGTAATGTCCTAAAACAGGCGCTTTACAAATTCGATCTTTTAACACTTCAAATGCCTCCTGCGCTTCATTCGTACAAACAAACACCTTGTCCTTTTTCGTCAAATTCGTGATGGGAAGCGCCAATCTAGCAAAATTATCAATAAACTTTCGATAATAAGAGAACAATCCCAAAACCGCTCTCACTTCTTTCAGACTGCATGGAGGATTTATCTCCTTCAAAGCCGCAACTTTCTTACTATCCGGTCCAATTCCATCGGCCGACACTTCATGTCCCAGAACAGTCACCTTCTGAAAACCGAAACGACACTAAGGGTCGTTTTCCAGAACTCTACTCAATGCTCAAGTCAGGATTTGAGTATGATTCAAAGCACTCGAAATCATACTCAAGTCCCTGCCATTAGGCTCGTATTTCCAGTGCTTGTGTTTCCAGTGTAATCCTGACTTGAGTATGGTTTAAAGCACTCGAAATCATACACAAGTCCCTGCCACTAGAGTCGTATTTCCAGTGCTTGTGTTTCCAGTGCAATCCTGACTTGAGCATTGAGTTGAGTTCTAGAATACGACCCATAGATGGTTTTAAAGTCAAATGCGCATTTTGCAACCGAATCAAAACCTCCTTTAATGCATTTTAAATTCTTCAAATGTACTTGGTACTTTTATAAATATAAACTGGGATAATCTTCAAAACTTGGTTTATTGTACTTTTTTTAAATATCTTCTTACTGAGATTACATCTCGAACTATCAAGACGTTCTATTCTTTCTAAACTCCTATTTCAAACACATTCTAAATATAAAACTATATTCACTCAGCCAGTAATTCTACTCATAGAGTAGAGCCTAGACTACAGTACCTACACCGTATGTATATACTTAATTTTTTTTTTAAAGTTTATGATGCAGAAAAATATCACATTAATAAAGAGTGTACCGGTAATAAAATTAGGATGTATATGAATGGCCCAGTTCACGAAATCCCTTCGTCCTTTTTTAGTTTCTGGCTATTGTACACTCTTTTTAACCGGCTTAAAAAAAGGAGGAGGCTGTCAATTCCATTGTATTGTTTTGTATCTTAGGTACGCGAATACTCCAACATTTAAACCGATTTCGATGATTCTTTTTTGTGAGAACTTCAGTAGTGATCCCTTTGACATTTTAAGTAAATATAACCTATTAGGGTGTGTTCCCATTTTGTCGTCACGTTTTATGGCCGTGATCTGCATAAATGTGTTAAACCTACCGAAAATTGTAAAATGAGTAGTGAATGCAGTCTTGTAATTTAAAGTTTAATATTCTTTTCAGTAACATATTTCAAAAAAATCGTAGTAATTGTTAAATCAAAAAATTATTTTCATAAAATCTGGGTCGTCTCAAAGGCGAATTTCGCAAAAATGTTTATTAAATGTTTGTTAATTGTAATGTTATGTTTGGTTAAACCATAAATGAGAATTACAACACATATCTTTCAACCTGGTTTGAAACGATTTAGTTTAAGTACGCTTAACACATACAACTTGTTTGTAAAATGTAAATACTTTAAATTTTGTTGATGATATGGACAGACTGGAAAATGATGTAGATTCTGAAACTGAGGATTGGGCGATGAGAATAATCGTTTTACTGTTAAAGTAAAAATTTGGCTAATGGCGCACCTTTCGAGATATTTGTTGCAAAAAACTAAAGCTTAATTGGTTTAAATTCAATCTGAAAGAAAAGAAATGAAGGCGAATGTGAGTACCTAAGACGAAGGTGATGGTAATTGAAAGGGATAAAAGTAGAAAAATGGGGACATGATTGGTAGCAAGAAAGTTTTGTGTCAAGAAAGTGTGGGTGTGACAGAAGAAGCATGAAATTAGGATAAATGGTGTTGGTATAAGAGCTTTAAGTAGTATGTTCTCTGTTAGTGCGTCTTCAAATTACGCGTTTAAAGAACTGCAGCCTCGCCACTAGGAAAAAGTAATAAGAAAGCGTCGTTTAGTGAAACATTATGTGGTCAAGTAAAAAGGATGGATGTTAGTAGATGTAAACGTGGGAAGACGTAAACCCTCGATGCACATTTCTCGATCAAATCTCGTAAAAGTAAGGAGCATCCGCGCACGACGTAACATTTTACGTCGTGCGGGGATGCTCCTTTCGTGCACCCCAGATTATTACTGGTCAAAGAAAAAGGGCTATTGATTATTGAAAACAACAACACATTGACTGACAAAAATAAAACTAATGTTACTTGGTTTAATACATGATCACTATGAAAATGTGATTTCTCAGTGTTTGCAAGGACGCTTTATATGTACTTTTCCGTATTTAGCAAAAATGTGTCAACCACCCTTGACACATACAGTAATAATTTTGTTGATATGTCGAATTTTGCATAAACCATTTTCATTTATGCAAGAGCTTCGCACTCTAACTCCCGCCCTAACGGGTCATGGTCCATACAATAAACACCTTTTCAATTTAGGTATCACAGACAGCCCTCTATGCAGAGCGTGCATGGAGGGGGTGGAAACGGCTGCGCACATCCTACTTCAGTACTCCGGCGTTGCCAACTACGGGGCAAACTACCTTGGAGTGTTAAAGTCGCTCCCCGAAGTCTTCAGCAAACCAAGGAGGCTTGGGTGGCACGAGTAGGACCCTGCACCACCACACGCAAAATAGGCGCTTTGTCATCGAGTTGCGGATACCAGCCCGTTGCACCAAGTACCAAGTAAGACTGTCGTTCTAGCTTTTCCCGTTGTCACTACACAGTCTGTTGTCGAAAAAGTCGTGAACAACAGTTAATCGTGTAGTACTATATATAAACAACGTCATTTAAATATACAAGTCACGACACTTTAAACTGCACGATTATCTGTCGTCACAACGTAACGGGAACGCCCTTATGGTGGCAAATTAGGGGATCAATCCGTTTTATTGGATTTCACTTTCCGTTAACCGATTTCAATAAAACTTTGCAAATGGATGTAACTCCATAAACTTTTGCGGTCGGTCTTTATTTTATAAAAAGTTATTTTTTATTTTTTGTCTTTGAAAGGATAATACGAAATCTTTGATACAGTAATATTATTATATATAATGCGATACAATTTGACTATCGTTACAGTTTCAAAGATGTCGTATTATTGTTTCAAAAACAAAAAATTAAAAGAGTGTACAATATTCAGAACGGACTATTGCTAATGACTATGAAGTCATGGACCCAGTTTTGAAGCTTGCCATTCATTATATTTGTACAGATTATCATTAAAACAACAAAAAAATGTGTAGGTTTCTATTTATCATGTATGTGCAATATATTTATTTTTATTATCTGTGATCATGCAAATCAGGATAAACGTTTCGATTCACTCTAATATGGAACCAAAGTCGTATCTGTTGAAGCAGCCGCACTTCTTCACTGGTCTCACTCTCCTAGGCCCGTGTAGCTTTTCTCTAAGCAGTACCTGTTGCTCCGCCAAAACATCTATGTCCTCTTTCAAACCCTTTATAACATGTTGTAGTGGAATCAATTCGTGTTCATATATAAATGAAAGTGTTCGGTTTATCTCTCTGCCAATGACAGCAATCCTTGAATCATCTTCGGTGGAATACTGTACTTTGCCTCTTGTGCCATTTTTAGTAAATTGGAACTCGGTATTGGCATCTACGGGACGGGAATAAGTTTTGCCTTTCAGTTTCTTATCATCTTTCTCGTGTGGTTTTCTTTTATTTATATATGCATTATCATGATCCACGGGTAGGGAACGAGAGTGTGCTGTACTATTTATTTTCTTATTAGCTTTACTGTAACTTGCTTCATCATCTTCAAATGGATACAATGCACCACTGCTTCTACCACTTTTCTCTTCAATAAATGAATCCACTTTACGAGTATCAATGAAAGAGTCATACTTTATTACTCCAATGTTTCTATCGTCAACTATACCACTAGTGTAATCACTCTTAGCCTCATTATATGTTTCCCCCTTAGAAGAACGCATTCTAGTCCCAGATTCATTTCTACCGTACGTCGAACCAGACCTATTTTCACCATAGTATGAAAATGATCTCTTGTTAACTTCGGTTTTGTCGTCAAGTGGTTTCCTTGCGTTTCCATCTAGTGAGATTTGTCTAAATGAAGAATTTGAAGGTTTACTATCGGGTCTGCTCACAAATGAACTAATTCTCTTTGCAGGAACTGTACCATCAAAAAGTATGGGTATATCTGTTTCAGTGTCAGTCCTACTTATATATTTAACATTTCCACCATATCTAGAATTATCGAAAAAGTAACTTGGATCATCATTGGTGTCAATTTCACTTTTGCCTAGTGGATCTCTTCCACTAATTGTACTTGGTTGACGCGAAATCATGTGGAGTTCATCGTTCTTATCAATATCTCTAGGTATAAATGAAATAAACTCGCCCTTCGAATCAGTTCTACTATCACGTAATATTTGTTTCTGTAAATATCCTCGAGATCCAGTATCGCTTAATAATGTGCTACGTTTAGTACTCATATCTAGAATTGAAACGCCTTTTACAGAATTTCGCTCATAAGAAGACATTGCAGCTTCAGTAGATTTTCTGTCGTCTCGCGAATATTTACTTTCCTCACCGACTATCCCCCACTTAGATGAGGTTATGGGTTCAACGCCATGTGTACCATCGGTCGAAACATGTCTTTGTTCATTAAATATACTTTGCCTAGGCGAAGTCACTTTAGAGCCAGTACCACTTCTATCATTTAATAAATCGACTCGATCTGGGACAAAAGAACCACGCTTATTTAAAGTACCTTTCCTATCACTGTGCTTCGAGTCACGTTTAAACGGTTTTGTGCCGGTTTCAAAATCAGTTCCATCAAACATTTGAGGCTTGTTATCTTTAAAGGTAGTCGAAGGCATTTTGGACTCAGCGGAATTTCTGGTGCTTGACGAAGCTTTTCTGTTTTCAGGTATGGAACTTCGCCTTGGTAAATATATTTTAGCTCCAGTTTCGCTCTTGCTATCATGTCTTCCCTCAATTAGAGATTTTCGTTTAATCGGAGGCAAATCAAAACCAGTCTCGTTTTCGTCAGTATAATCTTTCTGTGGTTCATTAAATATTCCTCGTTTAAGTGTTCGCGTTTCATACTCACCTTTAGAACTATCCGAAACTTTATCTGAAATATTGTCACACAATAAATAAATAAGATTAATAGTTTTACTATTACTATTTAATTTGAAGTTTTCACTACTACGGACTTGTTAAAAGAGATACCTACGGATGGTAGAACGTGGTACTAGTAATTCTTCCTCGTCATTGTCTCCTGTACTAGAAGATTTTTTAATTTTTATAGCCATCACATTTTGCCTATCAATTGGAATCATAATTTTTTTGTCCTGTGTATGTGAATTACTCTTATATGTTACGATATTTTCATCTGGTTCAAAGTTTGCATCAGCATCCAGAGTTTTTATTCCCGTTTTGTTGTCGTATGTATATTTCTGGAATACTAGATTTATATAATGGGGATCATCACCATTTGCTCCCTTTGTTGATACTTGACTATGATCTAATAGTCCGTGAGTTTTGGGTTCAAAAAATTGCTGCTTATGTGTGTCGTACGCTTGCGTAATTTTGATATCTTGTATTTTACTCGGATAATGCTTTTGGTTATTATCCACTTCTGGGTAGTCGGCGTTAAGAGAATCTTGGGCAATGATAGGTTGATGTGGTTCTGACTGTATTACTGACAAAGACTTAAATTTTTGTATATCTTCAGAAATCATATGCTGATCAGATTTTTTACACCGTTCCTGAAGCTGAGGGGACTTTTTAAATTCCCCGTTAAGTGATTGATGAGGCTGCATCTTAATTTCGCTGTCTGAAACTTTTTTATAACTCGCACTAGAATCTCTGTTTTGTGGTACAACAAGTAATTCTTTTTTAGGTTGGTCTGGCTGTAGTTGAGTGTTTCCGTTCTTTGTTTTGACACTGATTTCTGTACGGTCTGGGGATATGCTGGGTCGAAATTTATCTTTAAGGAGGTCGCCTTCCTCAGTATTACCAACCATTTTCATTTGATCGGAGAATTTTTTGTCTTCATTTAATTGGTACTGGTTAACATCTACTTTTTTTGTTACAGGTATCTCACCATCAACTGAATAGTGATCTGGAATCATGATAGGCCTTTGTGATGTCTTTTGTTCTTGTTTTTTATCACTGTTCTCTTTTGAGATCCGAATGATATCCAATAACTCAGTAGGGTTTGATATTCTCGTTGACATTCGAGGTCCATCAGTTTGTTGTGCTTCCATTTCATTTTCCGGTGACATCGCTTTATTGTTACCATCAGATAATTTAGCCTTTACTGTTTTGAGACCGCGTAGTTTTTCAATCTTTACGGGTTCTTTTAGTGTACTTTCTTTTATTATCTTAGATGGTTCTGAGGTATCATTCGTCGTTAATTGGGACGATGACTGTTTGCGGGTTTCATTAAAGCATTCAGATTTGTCTTTTACCAAGTCGTCGGTTTGGGAATGCTTAATTATTTTACCTACTGGAGGAATTATCATTTCTGTTATGGGACTCATAACTAAACTGCCTTTTTCGGATTCAATTATATTATCTTGCTGTGATTCAGTAACATCAGGACTTAAAATGTCAGATAATGGAGCATGCGGCTTATTTATTTGTTGTTTAGTAATGTCCGCTGTGTCTTTTGGGAAATGCTTCTTTGGTGTAAGCTCTTGTTGATTAGAAATGTGTGTGCTGTCATACTCTTTTGATTTATTCCTATCATCTATTGGAAAAGATAATGTTGATACTGCTCTTTTTGATATGTCTGCTGGCTCTTCGCCAAGTGGTATTATAAATATTTTACGTTGATCCTGTGATCGATTTGGAAATATTTCTGGAGATCTATTTTGGTCTGCAGCATCGCTCGTTTCAGTATCTGATAATATTATCACTGGAGCTGAAGAAATTTGTTTGCCAGATAAGGTTTTCTCGTCTATTTTTGGCCCCAATTTTTGTTTGTCGTCTTTTCTGGATAGCGGTATTGGGGTTTTAAGTACTTCAGGTGTATTTCTTCTTTGCTCCAGTTTGCTATTTTTTCGACTGCTACCGCTGTCTTTTGAAGAAGCTTTTTTCGGAGGACTAAAGAATAAAGTACTAAACTCATTAGACTCTGATCTATTACTGGAGGCAGAATTTCGAAGTTTTTCAATTTTCATATTATTTCGATCATCTGAGCTGATTTTCTTTTTATTTTGGTCACTTGATTTTTTTTGGATTTTAGAAAACTCTTTACCTTTTTCATTTTTATATATCTCTGGTTCATCGTCCGCCTCCTTTTCTGTGATTTCTTTTGGACCTACCTTGACAACTCTGTCTCGTAAACGTTCATCTGTGTCTATTTTTACAGCTTCAATAGGTTCAATGCGGATAGGCGGTATGATAACTACTCCTTTTGTAATACTTTCACTACGTGTATTTTGTTTCAATGGTGCTGGTTGATAAGCATATCTATCTTCTCCAAAAGGTGGATCCAAGCATCCTCCTGAGAAATTAAATCAAAGAGAAATTCTATATTTCTAAGAGAATTTCAAGTATTAGCTGATTCTTTACTACTCAATGTCATTAATGTAATTTTTAATAACACTTTTTAAAAGTTGGATTAATATTGATTATTACTTTTCTTACCTGGTTTGCATACACCAAAGAAATTCGTATTTTTCCTCATTAAAGCTTGTGATGTGCCAATTTCATCTGGTATGGTATTTTTTAATTTAATCATTCCAAATCTACTTTCTGATTTACTATCTGTAGTCGGTAAATAGGGTCCATCGTCATCGTCCGTCTGTGCACCCAAACAGTTTCCTACAATTAGAAAATTGTATATATGTATATATTCAACAAAACTAGTTTGTGATAAATGGCCTCCATTTTACTTAGCTAGGAGGTATAATTTGTAAAATTTATAGGTTTTGGCAATTGATACACATTTGAAAATGTATTCCGGATCTAAATCACGAACATTTTTGAAACACGATTGAGGCAGCGACGAATCTGTAATGATCTCGGAATGTCGTTCTTTTTTCGAAAACAAATATACGCAATTTAGACCCGGAAAAAATAGTTTCATTTCGTAGCATGTAGTAAAACTATATTATTTATCTGTATATTATTTTTACTTACCAAAGAATGTATTTTTCCGACTTTTTCGTTTTCTCTCGTGTTCAGTTTCCATAAGCATATTAAACGAAAGTATTGTATGATCGCTGCTAGCCTGACGAAGTCTCTCCGAAAGGTTTTCCGCTTGCCCCGATTTCGGTACAAATATGATTCCTTTCGGTACAGAGCTTTTTCCATCGTCTTTCTTACGGACTCTAATTTTTACGTTTAGAGGCGTCATATTTCCACAACTTCTCGTTGGCGATACACCTTCTTGAGGCACTGCCTCTACTTTGAAAGTGAGGGTTTGGGCCAACTGTCTTGCGGCGATGTCATCCATGGTGTTGCAATACTTTAGAAAGGTTTTCTCTTCTTAATCGACTATGTTAATTTTACAAGGACTGGTTACTGGCAAGACTATTTAAATCTATGACGAGAGTGATGAAAATAGGTTAAAAGGGTTAATGGGTGTAGTGTGTAAAATGTGTAACGGAAATATTTAAAAACGAAATTTGGTATTTAAAAATTTAATCCAAACACGTGTTAACACAATACGATAAAGTACAAAAAACAACTGCTTAGTAATAAATTAAATCTAATCGTCGAACAAAATTGAATACACCATCCGATTCGGCTGTTTACGTATTTGAAATTCTGTCTTCTTGTTCTGTGGGTCCAAACTAGTTTCATACGAATATTTGGTCATTTGATTTTTAATAATTCCTTTTTCGAATTTCGGAAAGGTTTGGTTGCCAATCATCATATTGTCTCGTTGAACGCTTGGAAGGCTCTTAAATGTATTATAAGCAAGATACGGCACCATATCCCTAGTAAATAATCCATACGATATACATTTATTTCTAATGTCATTAAGTTCAGTGACCAGCGGATAGATTTCCTTTTGTAAATATTTATCAAACTGAGTAACACGAGCGTTTTGTGATACCCACTTTGACAATTTATTTGAAAAAAGTCTATTAGCAGCATAATCACATTTCGAATCATTTTTTGATCTGTTCGTTATAATCATATCGCTAACATGTCGGTTTAGCTTCGAATTTTCCGATCTATGCACATTTTTGCCCCTAAATTTGTGATTTGTTGATGATTTTATTGATTTCATGGTATTAATAGCAAAGCTGTCCTTGTCTTTTGATTTGATACGAGAACCGATAACTTTTACGGATGAAGATTTTTGAGAGTCTTTCTGGTCATTTTCGTAATCATTTCCTTGCAAAGTAACCACTGTGTTTTGCAATTCAATGAACCTAGATTGATTTGGATTCCAAATAAAATTAAAATCATTAACGCCCATTGCTTGCAGAGCATCATAATTCTGTGTTTCATAGATAATGTCATTTAGTGCGGCATGTTTCAGCTTCTGATATTTTTGATTGACATATACTTTTGCTGGATTAATACTGTCAGAATCATTTTTCTCTGTTATCCTTCCTTTGTATTGATAAGAATTATTTGAAAGTGGTTGGAGTACGTTACCAGCTTTATCGAGTACAATACATTCGAAATATTTATTATTGTCCACTTTCAAGAGAGGATCACAATGATTGCCGCCTCTAGACAGGGTCTGAACTAATTCTTTAAATATGTTACTTTCACTGACAGTACTTTCATAAATTGGTACTTTTGCCTGCTCGTCCTGGTTCAAGTACCCAGTTTCATACGTATCAATAGATAACATTGGCGTTAGACTCAACCGTTGTTTCGATGATTTTCTGTTGGTCGCATCTCGTTTTGCATCATTTTCTTCTGTTTCATATGTCTCATTCGTTTTGTTGAACGTTGCGGTATTTTTCACATTAATATTTTCTGAAACTAAAAATAATCCAAGTCAAGTACGAGTACAACTGGTGCACTGAGGGTTCCGAACCGATAACTTTCGTAACTATTATATCACATATCTGAGGATTCTCATTAATTTGTCTCAAACATCTACTTACGTGAACCATAACTGTGCAGACCACGCTACTGGTGTGAAATTCGTACACCTATCATTTACGATAAAGATGCTACACATAATTTCAAAATTTTTTTTTTCTGGACTGATAGTTCGTTGCTAATACAGGCTCATTTAATTCAGAAAATTGATGAGGATCAAAATGCCGAAATATATTTGGAACTAGATCCCATACACTTTGTTTAAGTAGCATAATTATTATACTATAAAGATATTAAGTTTCGTTTAAATTGTATATTTTGAAAATTTTGCTTGGTGTTTTATAGTGACCTTTCACTGATTATTATGATTATAATGAATAGGTGTTACTTTTTCCCCGTGAGTACATTTGGATGACAATGATACTGATATTGTTTGTAAATTATAATTAAAAAATCTTCTAAAAATATGCGACTGTCTTTACGTAGACACGTCACAGGCATAATCATAACCAATTAACTATCAAGACCATTCAGGATGACGTACTTTGTACCAATTTTAAAAACTATTAATTATGAAATCTATGTGTAATATATTTGAATATTTCAATTTAACAGACTTTGAGATTATATTTTTTGCTTATTTTTATCAATAAGTCAAATATACCATAATGGCTCCACTTTTCAGATTTCATCATACGTTTTACATTTTCTCCTAGAATAGATGCGAGGGATGAAGCTGAAAAACTACGACTAATTTTAGGTCGATAGCAATAGCAGTTAATGGGATAAATAGTGATGATATACAGACGGACACCAAGTTTTTTCGTAAGACCTGGCGCCTATTGGCGGAATAGCATGGCAAGGGATAAATCGACATGAAGCATGTCGAGGCTGTCGGCTCGGTATCCTTAAGTTTACTGCTGCTTTGTTTTTGCAGCTATGACCACAATAGAAGAAATTTCAACTATATTGTCATTACATCATATTACTATTCACCACCCAAAAATTACCTGCCGTGCCGTCACGTCTGTGGGGGTCGGGCCTAAGAGTTTGATTTACCGTTTACGTTCGGAACCCTAAAAGGATTACTACTCATTATATTACAGTATAATCTGTAATATTTATCTGTATTATTGATGTAAATTATTATTTACCTTTCTTTACGACAAGTTCACGTTGCATATCGATCTGGTTAGACCGATCTACCGTTAAATGCGCATCATTAATTTCTGCCATATTCAGCGTTTGAATACTTTCATTTTTTTTTACCACTTCGGATATTTTTTCATGGGTTTTTTTAGAATTGTAAACTTCTTTGTTAGTCAGTATAATGTCGCATCTTTCGATGTTTGAAGTTATTTGGGAAATCCCTTCACCATTATGGTCACCTACATTATCGTGTGTGCCATCGATACGATAAGAAGAAGAAGTTACTTTACCATGGATGCAATTCTCACTAATCATTCGTATAAGGTCACCCGATGGTAAATTGGTATTGGATAGAGAATATCCATGCAGTAGGTCCACACAAGAGTGGTAAGTTTTTTCAACATCAACTTCAGCCGAATCATTTTCCTTTTTTATATAAATTTTACAGGTCAATGGAATCTTATACTCTACGAGACCGTTGTCTGTCTTCAATTCCAATTTGTCGACGTTTTGGAAGCCAGATATTTCTGGTACTATCGCTATAGTACATTTAGAATTTTTGTTGGAAAAGTTTTTTAAAATTGGCCAAAATATAATCCTGAAGGATGCGTTTTCCATAGATTAAAATTACAAAAACACAAATCTGTAATACGAAAAAAAAAAGATAAATAAAATCCTCGGTCTGTAACATAATGTCATTATGTAAATACATAATCACATATTAATTTGTAAACTAGTTATTAAAACGATTTCAATATTACAAAGGCGGTACTGCAATCGACAAACGAGAAATCAAATATTTTTTGTAATACTTACTTTTCAAAAAGATTTACGTGAATCTACCTGATGAAACACAAATCAGTTTAACGGATTATTTTCAACATATTTAAAATTTAATTCAAACTAAAATTTTGTCTTTTCAACCCTGCAAAATAAATCACTTCGCTTTTATCAGTCCATTTTTTAACACTGCATATCACCATTTTAATTTGACAACTTATTCGATGAATACTAGTTTGTGTGTGAGATTGAATGTAATGATAGTGAACTCTTTGCAGACGCGATATTACAAAAAAAGAAAATATACAAAGTAGATATCGTTGAGAGCATATACTTTTTTTAAATTATAAATGGCTCATATACATTCACTGCAAGACAAGAGTTACAAAAGAGGTCGCAGAGTTATGCTGGCCATACACGCTATGGTATACCGTAGAGGTCTACCTGTGTAGGTGTACTTGCGCAGGCAGAACGTGTGTGGGAACAGACCTGTGCAGTTTTGTGTATCTGCGCAGGCGACTGGCGCAAGATCGAAAATAAATTTTTTTGAGTGCTACCGTACGGTGAACCTGTACACGTGTGCGTGTACTACGGTCGCAGCTCGCGTCATTTGATTTCTAGTTACAGTCTATGGTAGTCGCCGTTCGCATCGTATTGCAGTAAGTAATAAAAAATGACAACATCCGATTCAAATAGTACTGTAGTAGCAGTCGACCTTCTTGTAAAAGTGTTTGTCCAGGGAAGTACTGCCACCTTACCTAATTATGCCGCCAAGCAGTAATGTCAGCATAACTGTGTTGCGGTTTTAAAGGATCAGGGTGCTAGTGAAATTACAGCTGCATGAGACTTGTAAACTTATGTCACAGAATGACGGGCGCAGTGGCAGTGCCCCAATGTCCAGTTTTGCGATTTAAAGTTCTGAGTGGCATTACAACTGTTATGAACAGGCGTGTCGCTTACCATAAGGCGCACGACTTGTCCATCCTGTCACTTGATATTATAAAAAAATACTTGAGGAATTTATAGAAATATTTCGAATTGATCCATGTCTTTGGCATATAAAAAATAAAGAATACCGCGGCCGAGACAAAAAAGAAGCTGCTTATAAGATGCTTGTAGAAAAATTAAACGAAATACAAACCCACAGGCTTGCCACGATCTGTTTTTCAACACAGCACCACGCCCAACGCGCCGTGGGAAGAGGGCCGCCCGAGCCCGCCCGTGGTCGCCTGTGGCGGCCTGTATGGATCCGCCGAGTGTCGGTAACTTCAAAGGCGCGGCGTGAAAATTTTATAGTACGAATACGCAAAACATGCTACGTATGTTCAATTCACTAAAATCTTAACAATTTACCTCAACCTTTATACAAAATGTAAGGTCGACGATGCATGGGCATGCACACCTAATAGCATTCAGGGAATAAGTCTGGAGACAGGGAATTCCACTTCATAGCCGTTTGCCATATAAATGTGGAAGCGTAACGCTTCATGCGAATCTTTGGCATATCCACAACATAGGGGTGGAACCCAAGCCTAGTCCTCCGGTGAAGGGGAAGGCGGAATTAAATCGTGTACTTCCATTGCATGCTTTCCGTGGCATATCCTGTAGAATTTCGATAAGCAGGCGAGTTTACGGCGGTGTTCAAGGCTCTGCAGCTTCGCATCTACTAATTTCGTGTTACCTGTGAGCCTCTTGACATGCTTGTCGATTGAATCCATGGTGACCAGTTGGTATGTAGGAGAGCCATCTCATAGGTGGTAGCAGTACTCCATATACGAACGAGCTTGTGCTTGGTACAGTTGAAGCAACTGTCCCGGTGCGAAGTAATGCCTCACTTTGGAAAGGATGCCAATCGTACTGGATGCATTTTTGGCCATGGATTCTATACATCTGTCGAAGTTCAAATTGGAGGAGAGGTCCATCCTAAATAGCTAGAGACAGTCGGCTATCGGTATACATATATATCACGAAAAGTCGTAGTCAGGTCAAAGGAACTCCGTTTTGTGGAGAATAGACACGCCTGTGTTTTGGTAGCGCTGTGACAAGATTGGCATCGCCCCAATCGGTGATCGTCTTAAGTGTTGAGTCCAAACGACCAACCATCCAGTTTTGTCGAGACTCCAGTCCAGACAAAACTATATGTAGTATGTATATGTAGTATGATTTTCTACGACTTTAAATGTAACCTAATAGCTCAGCGGAGCTTCGCTCGGCATCAAACTGCTTTTGGCGATGAAGCACCATGCAAGGCGACTATTTATAGCTGGTTTGCAGAATTCAAACGCCGTCGTGTGAATCTCAGTGATGAATTTCGTGATGGTCACCCGTCCGCTGCTGTGAATATCAAAAACATCGATGCTATGCGCCGTATGATCAAAACAGACAGGCATGTGACATACCATGAGATTCGGGCATCTTTAGGCATAGACATGTGTCAAATGCAATTAGTACTACACAAACATTTGGGTGTGAAAAAGCTGTGCTCTCGGTGGATCCCACACAATTTGACTGAGGCTCAAAAAACGGATCGCGTCACTTGATACAATGTCATGCTTACCAGATTCAACGAAGGGGCGTCAAATTTGGTGTGGGACATAGTAACAGGTGACGAAACATGGATTTATAGTTACAATCCCAAAACAATGCAGCAATCAGGTGTATGGGTCTTTCCAAGGTGAGCCGAAACCAATCACAGTGGCGCGCGTGCAAAGTGTCTCTAAGCGGTTCATTGCTTCTTTTTTTAATGAAACTGGACACGTGGCTACTGTTGCTTTGGAGAATCGTTGTACCGTGAATAGTGATTGGTACACGACCATTTGTTTCCTGGAAGTTATTGACAAACTCCGTAAAATTAACCGTAAACGCCGTGTCGTCTTGCACCACGATAATGCCAGTTCTCACACGGCCGTTCAGACAAATGAATTTTTGAAGGTGAACAACGTTGACCTTGTGAGCCATCCCGCGTACAGTCCCGACCTGGCACCTTGTGACTTTTATTTATTTCCAAAAATTAAGAACCAGTTACGCGGTCAACGATTTTCATCACCTGAAGAGGCTGTCGAAGAGTATGAAAAATATGGTTCAGAGATTGTGACGGAGGAGTAGCATAAATGTTTGCAAAATTAGTACATTAATATGAAAAAGTGCATTAACGCTAACGGAGAATATTTTGAGAAACAATAAATTCATTTCTGACCATTTATAGTATTTTTTTCTTATTCATTCCGGAAACTTATAGTGCGCCTCACGTATTATTAAGGTATGTATTATTTATTTATTATCAACGTAACACGAAACAGATCCGAAGTATCTCTCACGGTATTGATTCTGGTACCTAATAAATCTTGTGTCTTGATAAAATTATATTAGATAGTGTGGTTATTTATGTATCACAATATTATGTTTTGGACAGTCAAATAAATGTTTTTTTATTGAAGAATGAAGCTATGTCGACTCTTTAGCCTGTTATTTTTGTATTTTTTTAAATATCCAGTCTTATGAGCCAGAGTTCATACGTAAACTATCTATAACTTTACTTGTCTGGGATGAACTTAGACTAAGGACCTCTAAAGATGATCTTAGACTAAGGGGACGAGTTCGGTTTACGCAAAAAACTTCTTGAAGGATTGCAGATTTTGCCTTAGACTGTGGAAACATCCTCTAAGGCCCACACTAACCCCACATAGATCTATGGTTCTTATTGTTACCTAAAAAAGTTCTGTAATCGCTCTTAAAGGTACTGTAGAGTTTGCATACCTATGTTCTTCTACATCTACTTGCATCTTTTCTGCAGGTTTCAATTTAAATCATGTTCGTTTTGTTCATCGTTATTTATTTTAATCTTTGTAATTAGGTACATTATATTTGCTGTACCTACGTGGGACTTAAGCATGTTATGATAGAGTAGTATTGTATTATTAAAAAATCAAGAATAAAAATGTTTTCCATGCTCCACTTTGCGTATTTTAGTAAGAACGTCACAATATGACTCATTTGATGAAATACATCAACATCTTTTGATATGATAATTAGCACGTGAAACTTAAGATTTTAATTTAACACTATCTTATGATAATAAAGAGTGCATAATCATCTCGTTCCTACTAAATATGTGTACCTATTATACATGACATCATGAGGCTAACAAGCAACCCTAAAAGCTAGGAAAAAAACAAGCCTGGTAAGTAAACTCAACAAAAATGGAGTAAATTACTTTCCTAGTTATAAGTAACCTAATGGGTTTGCCAGTTTCCATTAACGTATTGCGGTGCACGGATAAACGTAATTAGGGTTTTGTTACGCCACCGCCATGGTTCATTTCGTATTTTTTAAAATACATACAATAATGATCTGGTGAGGTTAATTCGTGTAATTAAATGTGATTTACATCAGTTTTTATTAATGGGGATTTCTGCAAAGTGACGCCAGAATCTTAAATCAAATAAACACAAGTTTTGAAATATTATTTTTTATTTCCAAACCTCTTGTCTACTTTACACGAATTTACACCTTTTTACAAAAGTCGATATGATGAGTAGTTATTGCTCCTAAACATTATTACTAAATAGCTGAGGCATTTATAAAGTAACTGTGGCTATTATCCTAGGATAAACCAAAGTGATTACAATAATCATCTTTTCAGATCCATTTTTTATTTTGACGAACAGGTTGGAGAGTGATAGGTGTCCTAGCTTTACCTAACTGGAAGAGAAATTGTATTTGCAAATTCTGTGACCTGCCGAATTCGTATTGGGTCATAAAGTTGGTATAAACCTTCTATGGATTTAAGGGGTATGCTATTACAAACAGGGATAGAAGTAGACACAAGTTATTACAGCAGATAAATGAATATTCCTCAAACCAGGTGTAATTTAATAATTATCAGCATTTACAAAGTCAAATTTGTCTTCCAATTAATTAAAAAAATTGTTATTCTCTCCAATATTTCCAAGAAATAAATGGGCAAGCACTGTAACTTCATAAATAGTCTCAAATTGTTATTAATAACTCTACTAACATTCTAAAAAGTGGTATAATACAGTTATCTAAGACACTTTTTAGTACAACGTTATTGATACTTTTCTATTTTATTTATCGAA